CCAGGGAACCGAGGCTGAAAAGTGGAGGATGATGTCTTTAAAGGCTTGGCGGGGGGGGGGGGTAGGTGTGGGCATGGCTCCCCCAAAGTGCTGATGTCCCAGAGTTCTCCCACACACTCCCATCAGAGGCAGTGTAGCAGAATGGTGAGGAGCGCAGGTTTGGAAGGAGATTTCAGCTGGCTGGGACAAGTTTTGTACTGTCTGAACCAGGATTTCCTCATTTTTAATTACCCTGATGAGCTCATGTGAGGATTCGATGAAGTGATAGATGTTGAACACGCAGATGGTGCCTGACATGAAACAGCAGTCAGTGAATGGTAGCAGTTTTGTAATAAGGAACTATTGCTTCAGTCAAGAAGATCATGACCTCTGTTGAATGAATGCTGTGTAAACCCAACGGAACAAACTATTGCTGTTACAGAACCCAGAAGAACAGGTCAAAGATCACTGTTCTCAAGTTCACCCAGAGGTGTAACATGTTCACTGTGGACCCTGGATAACACCACCTTTCACTTATATCCTCTAGGCATGAAGGCAGAAGACCTCTGGTCTAAATCAGTGTTGTCCAAGGAAAATAGAGTGTGAGCAACTGATGTAATTTTAAAATTCATTGCAGTGGGTACATTTAAAAGATTAAAAGAAATAAGTCAGATTGCTTACCTAGTGAATCCAAATACAAGCATTTCAACATGTAATCAATATTTTAAAAAGTGAGGTTTCTATGTTATTTTCTTCATATGAAGTCTCCAGAATTTGTGTGTGTACTTTGTACTTACATCTTAATGCAGACTTTATTTCAAGTGCTCAGTAGCCAGGTGTAGCTACTAGTTACAAAGCATGTCTAAACCTTCACTCTGAGGTGTGCATCTAACCTGCTGGGAAATGGTGGGGGTTGTTGAAGATTCTGGAAATTTCAAGCTGACGCCTCTCTGGAGAACTTCACCCTTTCCATTTGATTCTTTTTGGGGGGGGGGGAGAGAGAGGTAATTAGGTTTACTTATTTATTTTTAAATGGAGGTACTAGAGATTGAACCCAGGACCTCGTGCATGCTACGCATGCGCTTTTCCACTGAGCTCTACCCTCCCCCACCCCCATTTGATTCTTAAATGCTCTTGGGAAGCTCTTGCTGATAAAGGAACAAATTTCACTTGTCACTGTGTTCCAGCCTTGTTGACGTCATGACCCTGAGAATAACAGTATTTAGATGACACACTGAGTCCCCTAGATGAGGCTGGCCCTGAGCCCACCCAGCTCTGCGAGGGCTGAGGCATCAGTGATTCTCGGGCCACCAGTGAGCCACGGCTCTCCAGTTGGGAAGCTCAGATCGAAGTCTGTGAGACAGTCTGCTCTGCATGTGTTGTTTGGAGGAGGGGAGTAGAGGAGGAGTGTCTGGGGTTGAGGGGAGCTTTTTACTGCAATCTGTGCAAGCACTATTCTTGTCAACCAAGTCCTGGTGCTTAGGTAACACTTCCTTCCCACAAGGAATGAGCAAGTGGCCTCAAGAGCTCAAGTGCCCCAGCTATTGCTGTCAGGGACTTGGGTTGAACAAAACAAGCTGCTCCGGACACTGAGCTCTGGGGTCAGCTTCTCCTCTGTGCACGGTGATGCCCTGAGGTGCAGGGCTGACAGCGGGGCCCAGAATAGCGCTGTGGCCGCTCTCAGCACAGCAGACAGCGCAACAGGAAGAGCTGGGGGTTGCACCGCTAAAAGATGTGGTCCATTGCCCCCCTCCACCCCCACCCCACCTTCAGCGAGTGAAACAAGCCTCTGTGTGGGAAATGAGCTCAGCGTCAAGAAGTGTGTCTAGGGAGGCCCTTCTGAAGAGGGACAAGAGAGCCGTGGTTCCACCCTTGGTATCAGGTCCGTGTGGCTGACATTGGGTTCTCCTTCCTCTAGAGCAACGTTCGTATTCTTTGAAATGTCACTGAAGGATCCCAAGAGAAGTGCACACGTGAACAGCCAAGACTGCAAAGGGCTCATGGGATGAATCATCCTTAATCACAGATATGTGCTTGGATTCTGGACTTCAGACCCCCAGGGCTCAAAATCTGACCCTATGGCTCTGCCACCTGTTAGCCACATGACTTGGGCAAGTTCGTTTGACCCCTCTGAACTTCTCCTCTTCTGTAAAATGATGATAATAACTTCTTCATAGGGTTGCTGTGAGATTAAATGAGATATTGCACGGCGTAGTGCAGCGCAGCCACGTGGGATGCGCTCAGCGACATTCACAATCGTGATCATCTTGAAGGCCTTCATGACACAAGAACCTAAGGCTGCTTCTCTGTGAGGTGTACTTTGATTGCCATTAGCCTTTTGAAACATCAGATAACCAGGCAAGGGGTAGGAATGGAATTCTGATAATCGGAATGGCCAGTTACGGCACCCTTGTTAAGAGTCGAAGGAACTTCGTCCCTTCCTTTTCACATCTCAGGAGAAGGGTAAATTTCAAAGTCAGCTCTGCCATGTGGGAAGCTAAAGGTCTGTACATCCCAGCTTTGGTTTTGCCCACTTTCTGTCATCACAGCCTCTGCCCTGCTGTAGAGATAACTCTAGGGAGGAACAGCACCTCTCTTTCCTCTCTGATTCATCATTGCTGAGCCAACATAAG